TGGTTTCTTAGGACAAGCGCCTTATCTGGGAGCCAGCGGGACGTCAACGTCACGCTGACGCCAACAAAATACTGGTTTGTTAGCTCAAGGCCTGGTTTCTTAGAACTAGCGCTTTATCTGGGCGTCAGCGGAAAGTTGACGTAGAGCTGACGCCAAAAAAATACTTTTTTGTTAGCTCAGCGTGAGCAGTCGGTCCAACGCAGACATTATCTCTCATTGCGCATGCGTTAATAACGTAAACAAATATTTATTTTGAATTTGTATTGATTTTGTTATTGTCGACCAGTGTTTTAGAGAACAAATAATGACTTTGTCCAAGAAAAAACACATTATAGCTGAGCTAAATGAAGAGTGCTATGTTTAATGAAGAAGCTATGTTTAATGTCAAAATCAAAATCTTGGCTGATTTCAATGTGCTGTTGGATGTTGTCCGCCATTGCTTCTGTGGTTAACGTCACGTTGTAATCCAACTGCAGTTGAGTTGGACGGCAATTGTAGTTCAAGATGAGCGTTCGATGACGTATACTATCAAACTCACAAATGGACCAATCAGAGGTTAGCGCTGATTTCCAGCTGACGGCGTCCTGTCCTAAGAAACCAGGCCTTAAGTGGAAGCTACATTTGTAAAATACACTATTAAATTTAATACTGAATCGAAAATTAAGTCATCAAGTTATGTTGTTTTAAAAAATATTTTATTCAAAATTGAAAAATCTTATTCTTTGTAAAATTTAATAATCTAATGCCAAGTGCGGTGGTTTTTGCATAATCATTTTAAAGTAATCCAGAAAAAGTGTCCCAAAAAGTGTCCAGAAAAGTAATCCAGAAAAGTGTTTTCTACACTAGGAAGCGCTGCAAGCATTTGACTGACTAGACTTCCTGTTTACTGTTTTTAGTGTGTTTGAAGCTATTTGGCTCACAACGTTGTTGTGTTTTGTGACTCTCTTGAGTAGTATTTCTTGTATACGTGTATTATTTCTCGTACACTTGTATTTTACCCCGATTTATTATTTGCGTTTAAAAGAAGAATCGTTATAAGAATAATCATTTGAAGACCTGTCACTTTAAGACGTAAGAATTGCCATTTGAAAATTCTTATATTTCTCTTATTCATAGATACAAAAAAAGGTAAGCAGAGTGCAAAAATTTAGGTTTTGTCTGAAAAAGATAACGTCGGTGATTTATGTGCAGCAAATACGCGTCGCAGCGTGCACGTATTGAGATCGGTGGAAGGAGAATTTATTTATATATGAGGGGGTTACTCAGCCAACTCTGATCACCCGGTGAGCAAGTACATTCAATTTCGTCTTGTAAGCCACAATTCAGTGCTTCATAGAGCAAAATGATTGGTATCAAGTCTTATGAAAAAATCGGTAAGTTCGCCGGGAAAACTTTTCCGAAGATAAACACTGTTTCTCATGATTTATTTTTTTAAATCACAAAGTATTTAAAACTATGAAGAAGGCAACATTTGAGCCAAATTCAATAATTTGGCTAAAAGATATAAAAGGGTATTAATAATCACCACTCACGAAAAATTGGTCACATGTGAGGAATTCTTGAACTCACATCATCGTTTGAGTGTTTAAAGACATTGAAAATTCTATTGAGTTTAGAAAATTGTAATGTCTGGCAATCACGAGACGAGACCCTGTTGTTGAATCATGTGACAGTCACCTCATTGAGTTCTATTCTTACAACTGACATATAGTACACGAGATAAAACAGTAACTGCACCTTCCCGGAGACATAATTAGTGGCCCAATAAAAGATATTAACTGCTCTCTAAGCTGCTCTACAGTTCTGATATGGCTGGCACTGACTTTTCTAGCTTCTGCGCTTACAAATTCTCATGAAGGGACGTCGTTTCGAGACAGATGACTACTAATTTAAAAACAAAAACTTGCAGCAAGGCTCATCAAGACAATCAGAAAAAGGCCTGCCTTCGATGTTTGAAAATCTATCTGAAAACTATGTATCGACCTATTTTGAAAAATTTTGACATGTTGTTTGATACAAGAAATGGTTTTGAATCATCGACTCACTGGCAGTACTTTTCACACAAAAATCTGCATCACGAGGAACAGTTATTTATAATAATTAATTAGCGCATTTGTATCATCTATTCTTTGTGTTGTTTGATTTGATAAATGTTTTTGAATCATCGACTCACTGACATTACTTTACAGACAAAAATCTGCGTAACGAGGAAGAGTTATTTATAACAATTAACTTCTATTAGTGCAATTGTATCGTCCATTCTTTGCATTGAACACAATTTGATATTGTAAAACATAAAGTGATATGTGCACGATATTACATAACATCAATCTAGTAAGTGCACTACACATTCAGAAAATGAATATTTCTAAATAAAAAGCCAATGTAGTGAGTTAGCATAACTACATTCTACGGTGAAAATCAATTAAAAAAAATCCAGTTTTTCATAATAATTCCATAGAAGTACTCAGTGACACTGGGCCAACAAATGTTTGTTTGAATTCAAAGATTTTTTAGAGATATAAATTAAAATAGATTAATTTAATTGTAAAAAATGAATTGATTTCTTAGTTGTGTTTTTAGTGTCGTCACCCAATTTGAATTTGAGTTATATGGCGTGTGATGTTTTATATTCTCTATTATTTTATCTAACAAAACTATACAGTTTAACAGACGGCAGTTTTTGAAAGGTAGTTAAAAAGTTAACAATTGTATGTTTTTAAATTTTTGATAAATATTCAGGGTGCATCGCGAGATTTTTCAACAAAAAATAAGCACCTTTTAAGTACTTTTTAAGCACTCAAAAAATATTTTTAATCACTTTCCAAAAAAAAAAAAAATCATATCTAGGATCTGTGCAGTAATAAAAATTATTTTTTTCTATCGTTCTATCACTTTTTAAAAACGCTACGCATTCTGATATTATTTTTATGCAATTAACACTAAAAAAAATTTTTTTTTAGCATCATCAAAATTGGTTTTTATTGGTTAAAACTGCAATAAAATAAAAATGAAGCGATAGTTCGAACCTTTTTTAAAAGGTATTGTGCTCTCGAATAATAATCATCAAAATTTTGTTTAATGTAAAATAATATCAAGAAAACGCAAATCAAAAATTTAACCTAAAATCCGAGATAAAGGCCTCTTAAGTGCGCAATTATTAAAAACTCTAACAAAAATAATGTGATTTTTGTCAGTTCGAGAAAAAAAAATAGTTTTAGAAACAAACCAACGAAAATAAATTATTTGTTATTCAGATTCATAAGATCGGTTATTAAAAATAGTTCAATAAACGTTTTTGAAATTAAGATTTATTGTCCTCTAGGTTTTTTAAACTACAAAGAAAAATAAAAGAACAAATAAATTTGAGTTATTTAAAGGGCTCTCAATTGTTGGAAATATAAGACCATTCTACTTCAGGTTTAGAAACTCTCATAATAAACAGGTAACTATTTTTTTTTAATACCAATTTAAAAAGAAATGACTGTTTGAATTTTGAAATGCTTTAGCGCGAAAAAGTTGCATATTGTAATTAAGAATAAAAATGGGATAAAACATTTAAAATAGGATAATTTCTTTCGTTTGAGTATCGTTCTCAACTAATAAACTAAAACACTTGAAAAAAAATCATGCCTTTTCAAATATTTTTTAAGTTTGCTGAAACTTTCGCAATAAACACGCTTTAGATTGCTTAATAGCTTGAATAAGCTTGAAGCTAATAGCTTGTAAATTAATTTGTTACTGTACAACGTTATCTTGATTTTGGTAATTCACTGTAACAAATATAAAATAGGAATCAATGCAGTAAGCCAAAGAATCCTACTCCCTTGAAAATGTTCGAACAAAAGTAGTAAATATAATGGAAAACTGAATAGTTGGTTGAGTAGATTGTAATAGCTCTTTTACCAGGAGTTGGCACTTGGCTCCCCCTTCATCACGTGGTATTCGACAGTACTATTTCACTATTTTTGGGAGAAGGATGTGAACAATCCTGAACACGGTTGCTATTTGGCGATCGTATTGCAAAAATATTTATTTCACGAACTTTATCTGCACTTTTTTAAACATTCAATATTTCATATATTTGATGATATTTCGTGCCATTTTTTTAATGATATTTCTCTCTTTTGAGTGAATAGTTTATTAGCTGAGACATTTTGCTGAGAAAACAGCAATTTTTAAATTTAAAATATATTTAATTAGCTAGAGAAACGAAAGGTATAATAGCAGATGATAAAGCGAAGTAAGTGACTAAAAAAGAATTCACTGTTTGTGCTTGGCGCGCATTAAGGGTTGTCTCGGTTTCAAGCGCGGAGGTGTTGCTCCTCTCACTCCCGCTCTGAAATGAACTCTGCGTTCGAGGAGGTGGAGCCAAGTGCCAACTCCTGGTGAACGAACTATATGTGTAACAATCTTCACTTGGTGAGTGCTGGGTTGTTATAATTTAACATAGTGAACGAAGTGAAAAATACGAAAAATTTGTAAACTTGTGTCTTTTTCAAAACCATTGTGCGAAAGTAAAAAAATTTTATTTATCAGAATTTAATTTATCTGCGTCATTTAAACTATCAAAAAAATATTTCAAAATAAAACTAAAACGTGTTTGTTGGATAGACAGAAAATTTTATAAACCTGAAACAATTTAATCTAGTTTTCATCAATACTAAATAAAATTTTCACTAATTTTTAGTACGATGCGTGAATGAAAGATTTAACCGATTTTAATTTTTTATACCGTTTTTATTGTTACAATAGGAAACTTTTCAGCACTGAAAGTGTTCCTACTAGAATTTATACTTCTATAATTTATACTTTCGATTTTTTATTGCCGCCATCATCGAGATTTCTTAACAGTGTTGAATTGGAAAATGATTAAACATGATTACTTATTAATTTTTTTTTTCATTTTTGTTCCTTGTTTTCTTATTGACAGAATTATTGAAACTTTTTATTATCAGTAGCCATATCAATCTTGATTAGTTCCGATTTTCAATTTTAACATTATTTGCTGCACGGTGATTTTCTAACGCAGGGTATACTATAATAATAACCTCGCTTTATATATATTTTTTTATTATCTTTCTTCAAAAAGAAATTTAAAAGAATATTCTTATTTGGGGTTGCAAATTCATACAATAAATAAGCGAAGAAAAAACATAAAACGTCATCAAACTTTAACAAATCACTGTTAAGGAAAGCGGATTTAAAAATACCAAATTCACTTTTTGTTTCCTCCAATAATCTAATCATGACTTTTTCAAGGAGGAATGATAAACTTTGACATTATTTTCATTTTTTTCCTCGCTTAAATATTAATTTGTGACCACTAAAGTGCATACTTTGTTCGACTTCTAAAAACATATATTTTAGGGCGGCCATTATGAATCACCCTAGATGAAATACATAATATATGTGTATGCACAGAATATACATGTATGCATATAACATATATTATACATAATACAATATAACAAGAACTCTAACGTAAAAAAAACTTAATTATATACAAAAAGAAAATGGACCTTTCAGATATTATGTAAGCATGTCTAAGGAACTCTTAGACTCATCTAATAAAAAATTAAGAATGCTTGAATAAACTTTTTTTCCCCTAAAATATAATTTTTATATCGTTCTTTTATTGAATTTTAAAATTTTTTGAAAATAAGGACATTTTAGGGTCTTACCTAAGCATCGTTCATACCTTTGTAGGCAAAAATAAACAAATCCCAAACCCCTTCTTTTTTTCTCTCTTAAATATTAATTTGTGACTACTAAAGTGCATATTTTGTTCGACATCTAAAAACATATATTTTAGGGTGGCCATTGTGAATCACCCTAGATAAAATATATAATATGTATGCATATAATATATATTATACATACATCTTATATATAATACAATATAACAAGAACTCTAACGTAAAAAAAACTTAATTATATACAAAAAGAAAATGGACCTTTCAAATATTACGTAAGCACGTCTAGGGAGCTTTTAGACTCATCTAATAAAAAAATTAAGAACTTTTTTTCCCCTAAAGTTTAATTTTCATTTCTATTATAAAACTTTACAAAATGTATTATTTCCCCAATTTCTTTTCATATTGTTCTTTTTTTAATTTTTGAAATTTTTTTGTAAGAAACAACATTTTAGGGTCTTGCCTAAGCATTGCTCATACCTGTATAGGCAAAAATAAGCAAATCCCAAACTCCTTTTCCCATTAAGTGCTTACATTATATTTGAATGAACCCTAAGTGACATAAATAAAATGACTATAATTGTTAAATACTGATGATTCATTTAGTTCTCACAATCGGGGACAAAACATAAGCACAATCAAACAGCCGACCACTGCTGCGATTCCGGAAATCCGTCCGGGGCTGTTATCACAATGCATTTGTTGCCACCCCCTTTCAGAGGGATCACCTGTTCCCGGTTTTTCTGCTTCAGGTGTTTCCACGGAGCTCTGATGAACCTTTGGCATCTACCACAGTCTCTTCCATTTTCATCGATGCTGTCTTCGTCACAGTAATCAACCTTTGAACGGGATGATTTCGGTACCTGCAGAAAAGCAGTCCTCGAAGTACTCGCTGGACTGTCCGTGCATTTGAGAGTACAAGCGTTGCGCGAGTTGCTTCCCGGACTGTCCGTGTCGACATTGCTACAGACAGTGCTTTGATAATACATGGCGTTTCTGTTCTCTCGCATGCAGGGGCAGAAAATTTGTATAAATGTCTTCCTATATTTCTGACTAAGTAAACAGTACAGTACAAAATTCCCCGCAGCGTTGAGGGACATGAGGAAATTGAATATATTGCCCAACCCTCTCAGCAGGTAGAGCTGTTTAGAGTCAAAGCTTTCGTGCAGAGTGCTGTACAAGAGGTGACAAGCGGTAGGTAGCTGACAAATGAAAAACAATATGACGACAGCGATCAGCATTATAGTGATTTTGTTCTCCTGGCTGTTGTCGCTGCCGCGGGTCATCGAAGATCTCTGGACTTTAGACATGTGAACTGATCTTATTAAGAAGCTGTTGAAAATGGCTAGCAAAATAAAGGGAATGAAAATGAAAACCACAACAGTCAACCAGTAGTAAATTGTCTTGTACATGTAATTCTTGCCCATTTCTGTCAGATCGAGAGACAGAGTAGTTCGGTTTGTCGAATCGTCGACTCTTTCGATCACTTTCCATTCGAAAGGGGTGGGAATTGTGAAAGCGAAACAGAACAAGAACACGGCGACGATGGCTTTCTTGGCCCTGGACTCCGTACAGAAAACCTTGCCTTTCATCGGGTGGCACACAGCGATATAGCGCTCAATTGTGAATGTGACAGTCAGCCACACTGAACTGTTACTACAGGCGTCTGTGAGCATGAAGATGAAAGGCCTGAGTCTCCAGTAGGCGTAGTGGTCAATATCAGGAACTCTTGGGTAGTGGCTGAGGGAAAGGATGAAGGTGAATATCAAATACATCATGTCAAAAATGGCCAGGGCAGCCAGGTAGTTGTTGGTGGAACTTCGCATCCTGCGGCGTGTCATGATCACGATAGTGATGACATTACCTATGATGCCAATTGTCATGATGGTGGGGACGAGGATCCTTTGGACCCAGAATCTTGAGTAGATGAGGAAATTTCGGTGGTACCATTCGTCATCGATGTCGGAGTCATTCATCTTCATAGTTTCTAATTATTCTGGAACGTCTCAGCCAGACTTCATAGTTCACCGAAATACCTGTAAAAATAAGAAGAGTTCAGTTGATTAAAAATATTGTATGGGCTTCAGTGATGAAAGGGATTTAATTTTATAGGCAATTGATTATGCTTAGTGGCTTAGCTGTCCCTTTTTTGGCTATATCAGTAGTCTCCTTTGACTCTGCCCGAAGCTGGAACACCAACGTTCACGGGTTAAAGATAATCCATCTCTATTTAGAAAACTGTTCATCGGTCAGAGAACTAGGAAATTCGAGATCATGCACTCGGGTTTAATAAACCAAAAATTAGAAAAAAATACCAATAGAGAAGAGGCTTTTAAGGTACTTGTGCGAAATCTCATCTACCCTTTTCGCTGAAACCAAAATATGTCGCAAACACGATAATTCGTCAACAATGGATAACGACTCATAGTTGTTACTTCAAAAGCCATTTGTTTATATGCCTTTATAATTATTATTTATCACCATTACATTATTACCCATTTGCAAAATGGGTCTTGGTTTGGATTTGATGGCGTCCACACACTCTTCAACTGTGTTCAAGAGTAATAGTGAACAGTGCGCATGCGTCGTCATTGCATGCGTTCCTATGGCGACCGCTGCTGCTTTTCTTTTCACTATCAGGCATTTTTAATGTATTTACATAATAATAATAAAAATTTAAAGTATTTTCACATTCTTTTTATTATTAACGTATAATGACTGGCTTGACGGTGATTTCAATGTAAATATGAATGCCAAAAAAGGAAAAGTATTTTGTGACGTCTTGATACAATGTACATAGGCAGGATTTGAAAACCAATCCGACGACAAACATCAATGGAGACAGTTTTTGCAACCCATGATATTGAAATGTTGTGGCGTTTAACGGAGTCAATCCAGAAAGAAAAAGCATTTNTTATATGCCTTTATGATTATTATTTATCACCATTACATTATTACCCATTGGCAAAATGGGCCTTGGTTTGGATTTGATGGCGTCCACATACTCTTCAACTGTGTTCAAGAGTAATAGTGAACAGTGCGCATGCGTCGTCATTGCATGCGTTCCTATGGCGACCGCTGCTGCTTTTCTTTTCACTATCAGGCATTTTTAATGTATTTACATAATAATAATAATAATTTAAAGTATTTTTACATTCTTTTTATTATTAACGTATAATTACTGGCTTGACGGTGATTTCTATATAAATATAAATGCTGAAGAAGGAAAAGTATTTTGTGACGTCTTGAAACACGTACATAGGGCAGGATATGAAAATCAATCCGACGACAAACATCAGTTGAGACAGTTTTACAACCCATGATTTGAAATGTTGTGGCGCTTAACGGAGTCAATCCAGAAAGAAAAAGCATATGATCAATGGGTAACCAGTAATCGTAATAAGGTGATCACAGTTTTTTTTTTTTTGTATACCATTTGTATACATTTTTTTAAGTCAATCTCCATTTTAATTGTACATTCATTTCTATATTTTTTCAATAAACTTTTCATTTTAATTTTTTTACCAGATCAATAGATTTTTTGCCAATTTGTGTAAACTTCCCTAGTCGACGGGAACATTCAAGTACTCCTTTTATAAGGCACATACAATCACCTACTACACGTACCTTCACTTTGCTGAAAGAACACATTCCTTCACGAGGCTGTAAAAATCTTTCTGAAAATTTTCTCTCAAATGTACTTTTTACTGTTAATTGGGTATAATATGAAAAAAACACAACTACTTCGATTTAGTAGGAATAACATATGACGCAATGCTAAACGAATGTAATTTAGTTGTTGTTTAGTTATTGTTATTAGTAGTTGTTGTTATTTGTTTTAGTTGTTGTTGTTTATTTAGTTGTATTTAGTTTCAATAACTTTTCTTTATTATGCAATAAAATCTGACGAGCAGCTATTTAAACGATCGAACACTTCGTTTGTTTATTTGTGGCTTGAAGCTAGGCTCGCAGAAAATGCCGTTCATGGGTTAAATTTAGTAGGAACAACACAACCTGTGACGTAGGCTATATTATACCCAATTCAATATTTATTGTAAAATAATTACGGTGCAAGAAAAAATAGAATTTTCGAGTCAATCATGCATCACCAAGAATTTAACTCGTGGTACCCCAGTAAAAAACTAGTGCGGTTGTACCACCCTATTATGTAATGTGGCAGGAAAGAATAAACTACCATTGCCTTTACTTTTCCTGCACAATTTACAGTAAAATTTGATTAGAACCTGTACATATTACAATTTGCACTAATATTTACTTCAAAATCTTCCAAAATTTTTTTTCACAATGTAACTTCCTGACTTACAGAGATTTCAACACATAATAAAAAATTAGCTTTCAAATTGTACGTAATTTTCAATATATTTGAATTCGTGTTCAGCACTTAATAATACAGAAAAATTTATAACAAATATGAAAACAATAAAATATATAAATCAAAACATATTTTTGGTAACAAGTTTTGAAGCTAATTTTCCTATATTTCTTAATCAAAATATGACAGTATAGTTTACAATACTTTAAAGAAAATTATGCAGTAGTAAAAAACAAAAACATTAAAAAAAATAAAAACTCACATAAAAGTTAAAACATTCTGCCCTGAACATAAATCCCTGAAAACTATTTTAAAAAAAAATTGTTTTCAACGTTGTATACAGTAGACAATTCCTTAACCAATTTGTGAAGAAATTAGTGCAATTTAAATGAGAAAAATATTTTACAATGTTTACAAACTACATTTATCTCACAGCATAAAAATACTTGTCAGTTGAACGTTCTTAAAGACGATTTTTCGATCTAAATTAAGAGAAAAAAAGTTTCAATTTATAATTCAGTTAATTATATTGTTTTCAATCTCATCAGAGAGTTCGTAAAAGAAACCACGTGGCGCTGTTAAAAAAGAATGAAAAATGCAATTAAAGAGCAACTGGCGCTTCGCCAGAATAAAAAGAGAAAGTAAGTAGTATTCCTGGAAAAGAAAAAGGCGAGAAAACATCAGCAGGGGAAAGATTATCAAGAAAACATTCCTGGAATTTTCAGATTGGGTATTATCATCACCTCACGCTAAAACCCAGCGAGCTGAAATGAAACGAGCAAAATAAGACAATTAAAAAGCTGGAACACGAAGAACAGTAAACTATTTTCGGAACGTGAGAGAAAATTAGAAAGGAGGGAGGTTTTTGGAAGGATTATGGAAGCAAGAATATGATTAGAACATACAAAAACCAAGAAAGAAAAATAGAAACTTATCTAAAGAGTTATTTTTTTTTTCAAACTTGGTTTCTTATCTTAATCCTAATAGTGCTTCATTCAAATTGTTTTATTGTTGGGATTCGAGCGCTACGAATTGGAACAGATCGTTTTCTTTAAGTAAACGTTAATAACGGATGGATTTTGGAACTTTTTCGAATAATTTATTCTAATCAAAATAATTTTTAGAACAGCTTTGTAAAAGGGATAGAGTTATCAAAGGGGTAAAATTAAAATACCTTTTAATAAACAACAAAACATGAACACGCTATTTTCTTTTGGTAATTATAATTTTTTGCTTGTTTTTAAAAAAAATGCGAAAAACTAGCAAACGATTTTTTTATGCAAAATGTTTTGTTTAGTTTTTGCATGGTTTATCTTAATCAAAATAATTTTTAAGACCGTTCCAAATAAAAATCACGTATGAGTGCATTAAATTAATATTTAAATACCTTCTGAACAAATCTTGCTTGCATGTTTCATTTCTTAATATTTTTTTTTATTTACCGATGTAAGCTAATAAAGTAAGATGGTTTTTAATCACATAATAAACCAATGTACCAATTTTAACTTTTCAACTAAAAGCCTTTCGATCAAATTTATTCGGATGGAACTGATGCCAATTCATTTTAAATAATCCATTTTGCAGTGGTTGCATTCAATTGCAGATGAGCACACTTATGATTTCGCAATAACTATTTTAATAACAATGAGGTTTGTATTCGATTCACTGAATATCAATACATAAAATTTATAGGAGTCTAGTGAATATTAATTCTGAGAAACTCACGAGAAACACGAATCCGCCAATGCCATATTTCGAATTCTCGTTCCAGGGGAGATAATATATTGTCCGTACTTGATAGAGAATTTGATCCGTTCCGAGTTGTGTAGTGTCATATGAGACACAATTCCTTCTGTTGAATCTGAAAATCTCTCTTCGTATTCTCCTTAGAGCATTTCATGTTTGAAAACGCTCTTTCAGGTAGGTATGATTATAAAATAAGCTTCGTTGTATATTTTTTGTAATAAAAATCTAGAAACGTTGCACGTTTTATGAGTTTTGTACTTAATTTGTCAAATTTTTAAATTCCTTTGACGTGCGAAACTTATGCTGCCTGAAGCAACGCGTAAAAGCACAAAAACCTGGCAAAGTTCCTTTTTTTTAATTTTTGAAAACACTTCAATTTTATTTTTGAAAACGCTCTTTCAGGTAGGTATTATTAAAAAATAAGTATTGCTGGACATTTTCTTGTAATAAAAATCTAGAAAAGCTGTCCATTTTATAATTGCTGTCTCTAATTTGTCAACTTTTTAAGATTCATTAACGTGTGAAATTTACGCTGCCCGAAGCAACGTGATGAAACACAACGTGTGAAAGCACAAAAACCTGGTAAAGTTCATCTTTTATTTTTGAAAACGCTTCAATTTTATTTTTGAAAACGTGCTCTCAGGTAGGTTTGATTAAAAAATAAACATTATTGGACATTTTCCTGTAATAAAAATCTAGAAAAGTTGTCCATTTTATGATTTTTGCACATAATTTGTGAAATTTTTAAGATTCGTTAACGTGCGAAGCTTACGCTATCAAACAAAACGAAGCAAAGCGATAAAACACAACGTGTAAAAGCGCAAAAACCTGACAAAGGTCCTCTTTGTCTGGTTTTAGTGCCTTGTGCCACGCAAGACGTACAAAAGTACAAATAATGGGCAGAAAAAGTGTTTTGACACTGATGATAATCAGGGCTAAATGATAATGCTTTTCGTAGTACCGAAACGATCGTTTTAATTC